GGGCTAGGTAGCCCAGATGAAGGCAGAGAGGCTGCCTGATCAGGAGAGATCATAGTGGGGTCGTATAGGATGATTCTGGGGCCCAGCGTGGGGCCGGTGATAGTGTTAACACCAAGATGCCATCTGCGAGGCTTGGGCTGCAGTATTAGGGGAGGTCGGAGCCGCAGAGCGCCCCCTGGCATCGGGGCACTACAATGGGCAGCCTCCCGCTTAATTGACATTGATATACGAATCAATTATCATCAAAGGCGTGGTGGGCGAGATAAGCGGGCGGTTGCCCAGCGACAGGTGGGCGGGCCACGAAGAGCTTGGCCCTGAGTAGGCCTCCTGTCACGGTGACAGGTGGGTGGGCCACAGAGTTCAGCCCCAGGAGGCCCCCTGTCACAGGGGGGAAATGTAAAAAAGTGGAAAAAAATTTGCTTGACATTTCTTAAAGTGTTTCAACACTTTTATTTCAAAATTATGTTTAAAAAATTGTCTGAATTAAATTAAAAATAAACTGAGTTTAAATAAGAGGATGCTGGAGGTGCTGGCTGACCAGAATCCATTTTATTCCAGTTTCCCAGTTCAAGCAGTAGGTGTTTGACAGGGGTCCTTGAGGAACCCTCCCTCACACAGACAGGGCAGGGATTGACAGGGGCAGTACTGGGGCAATGGGAAAGTGCATCCTGCTCATTCTGTGTCATACTCTGGGTGATAGACTGACCAGGTTTCCAGCCCCACAACTTCCTAAGATGTCCTGTGGGCAGAGCAGGAGCACGAAGGTGGGCTGCCGCTTTGGGCCAACTTAGGGAAGGACTGCTGTGTGGGGGTGGCTGTGGATGAAGCCAGCACAGGGTTGGGTAGAGACAGGACACAATGGGGAGCACTTTTCTCACCCTTCAGGATACTGGAGAAGGGGCTAGCTGGCGCCTGGGGGGAGGGAGGGGCAGCATCTTGGCCTGGGACAGAAGAGAGCAGAGGGGCATCATCCTAGTCTCACCAACATGCCAGGTCCAGGGGATACAGGGCCCCATCTAGGTTTGTACCTCTCATGCTCATCCACCAGCCCCCCAGAACTCAGTACAAGGCAGAGGGGCTACCCCAGACATTGTTCCCTCTGCTTGTCCTGGAGGATGGCTGCCACCAGCCACCATGTCCAGCACTGATCTGAAGGGACCATGTCTGTCTTGGGGAAGGGAACAGGTCTCTAAGGCCCACTTAACTCTCAGCCTCAGGAGAATCCCAGACATAACACTCATACCCAGCTGGCTGCACAGAACTTCTGCCAGCCCATCATCAGGGCATCAGGTCTGGTCCTGGGTAACTTGAGCTGGTGCCCCCTCAGGGAATGTCTCTGCCCCACCCCCAGCACTGGGCACGGCTCATCCATTGCACCTTGAAGGAAGAATCCTCCCATGGCACTGGGCATCACCAGGAGAACACGCGCCCCCCCCCATCAGCACAGCTGGCTGTCACCCTAGGGCCCCACGTTCCTGCCCAACACCCTCCTGAGCGCCATCTGCACCTCCCTGTTCCGGAGGGTGTAGACCACGGGGTTGAGCAGGGGTGTGACCACCGTGTAGGACACAGCGATCAGCTGGTCCCGCTCAGAGTCATCGTCCATGGCTGGGCGGAGGTACATGGCTGAAGCACAGCCAAAGTGCAGGACCACCACGGTGAGGTGGGAGGCACAGGTAGAGAAAGCCTTGCGCCGCCCAGCCACTGAGGGGATGCGCAGGATGGTGCCCAGGATGTAGAGGTAGGAGAGGACGATGAGGCCAAAGGGCAGAGCGATGACCAGGAGGCTGAGGGCAAAAGTCACAGCCTCATGGAGGGAGGTGTCAGTGCAGGCCAGCCGGGTGACCGGCAGTAGGTCACAAAAGAAATGATGGATGGTGTTGGGGCCACAGAAGGGCAGGCTGAAAATGAAGAGGGTCTGGCCCATGGAGATGAGGAGCCCACTGAGGAGGGCCATGGCCACCAGCCAGGCACAGACCAGGTGGCTCATGAGGATGGGGTACCGCAATGGGTGGCAGATGGCCAGATATCGGTCATAGCCCATGCCTGCCAGCAGGAAGCAGTTGTTGCAAGCCAGGCCAATGAAGACATACATCTGGACTGCGCAGCCAGCACGGGACATGGTACGGCTGGCGCCCACCAGGCCCCCCAGCATGGGGAGCAAGATGGCAAAGGTGTAGCAGGTCTCTGAGATAGACAGAGCCCCCAGAAAGAAGTACATGGGAGTGTGCAGGCGGCGGTCGGCCCCCACCATAGTCACGATGAGCGCGTTCCCCACCAGTGTCGCCGCATACAGGAGGGCAAACAGCACAAAGAGCAGCAGCTGCAGATCCGCCAAGCCTGAGAAGCCCACAAGGATGAACTTGCTCACCCAGGTCCCGTTGGCCATGCTTTGGGGCGCGGCTCATGGCTGAGGGGACAGACAGCATATGGCACCACAGAAAGCCACCCCACCCCACCCCACCCTTCTGTCTTTGTGGCTCCCTACTTTCTAGGCATGCACTGCCTGGCCGTGATGGCATCTGGGCCAGCCTTTCCCTCCCAGCCCATCTCCCAAGGCCAGTCTATCCCCTTATTCCCCTTGCTGCTGTCTCCAGTTTCCCTGTGGGGCATGGTGTGTGAGGAAGCAGTGGTTGTGCTATCTTGTATCTGGATTTCCCGTGTGGGGATTCTCTGCCCCTTTCCCCTGACAGCTTGGAGCTGTACTCCTGGCCAGGCTCTCACTGCTTTGCTACCTGGCATCCCATTAGCTTAAGAACATAAGAACTGCCACAGACACATGGTGGGGTCTTACCTTAACCAGACATTTCTGAAGTCTCAGAGGTCCTGGCTCCACAATCTGGAGGACACAAGTGTGCACTGGGTCTGCTCTGACCAAGGTTTGCTCTGTGACTAGAGAACCACCCTGGAGCTGCTCTCCTCTACCCCCCACCCTCTGTCTAGCAGCTTGGTCTTCTCACTCCTCACTGAGCACAGCCAGCATCCCCCAAGGCCTGGCCCTGGCAGTCCAACAGGGAACCCCCCACCCCTGCCATGGGCAGAGGCTGGCTCTGGCAGTGACCAGCAGCCCCAGAGTCCTTTGACCTGCTCTGTATCAATCTGATCTGGGGATCTCGCTGCTCTAGCAACTCAGCCCATCACCACTGGAGGCAGTGGGAGCAGATCTGTCCTGTCAGGGACTCAGAGCCCTTGGCTATGGTGTGGTGAGGGAGTAATCCCTGGGGCACCCATCACATGTGCAAGCTCAGCTTGGCAATTAGCAGGTTTGTAGCCATGGGAGCAGGGAAGTTCAGGGACAGCGTTCCCCAAGGAGCTGGGGCTGAGATGGTGCATCTGAGGACTGAGACACAAAGTCTGGAATGGCAGTGGAGGGCCAGTACTAAGGAGATGCCTCCCAGTCTGGTGCCCTGCACTCCTGCTCTGATAATTCCCTGACCCTGAGACCATTTCTCCTGCCCCCTCCTCACTCTGGCATGAGACTTTGGGCATGTGGTTCCCTGCTGCTAAGAACCCCCAGGGTAGGATCCCTGGGGGTGCAGGTTTGCTTGGGGGTGGCAGGCTGCTGCCATCAGGTGTATGACAGCAGAACAAACACAGGCATAGCAGGGCAACCAGTGCCTACCAGGGACCTAATTGGACCCCTTGGGTTGTAGGCCTGAAGCAGAGCAGTTGGCCCCTGCACAAAGCTCTCAGGTGCCCCAGAGCCCCAACCCCAAATACACTGCAGAGCTGGAACCGAGGAGATCCCTATTGGCATCCCCAGGCTAAGAGCTGAATGTGCTGCCCAGGGACCCCTCCAGGCTGGAGGGAGGCACGGGAGGTGCCTACCACTGCCTGGGCTCATTAGGGCCCAGGGGCCTGGGCCGTGGGGTCAGCCCAGCCCCTCAGCAGCAAGGTGCCCCAGCACCAGTCCATCTTACCTGTGCTGGTGGGAGACTGACAGGGGCTAGGAAGGACAGCAAGGAGAGCAGGCACACCCCTACCCTGGGAAGCCATCAACAGCACTGCAGAGAGGATCCCAGTGACTCACAACATCCCCCACCCCTGTGCCCTGCCTTGCCAGGGCTGAGTGCTCTGCTCAGCTCTACTCCGCTCCACTCTGCCTGGGGTATTTGTACCTAACTGGCAGGACTGGCAAGGCCTAGTCCCTGGGCACCAGGGTGTATCTATACACAGGGAGTAATTACAGTGCTGCCTTGCTCAGTCCCTCGTGGTGCAGCTGGTCCCGTCTCTGTGGAGCCAGGTGCTTGCCAGAGCAGGGTCTCTGTCCCCTCTTCTCCCCTCCGCACAATGATAGAGCCATAGGATGATTCATGCCCTCTGCCCTCCACAGCATCAAATGCTGAACACCCAATGTAGTCCCTCAGGAGGGACCAAGTGCCTTTTGCCAGGCCAGTCATGGCCTGGAGGACTCCCCAACACAGCCCCCAGGCAGAGGCCATGTGCAGAGTGAACTCTGCCCTCTTGGAGCTGTGTCGAAGGGAGGGAGTAATGCCTACTCCATCAGTGTGGCTCTATGAGAGCTGCTTGGGGGGAATACCACTCTAGAGAGGGTGCCTAACTACCTTTGGCCAGGGCTCAAACCCTCCCCTCTCCCTGCAGCTCCAGTCCCCTCTGCATGCCAGCTTCTATGGACTCCCCAAGACCTGGGGGTGCTGGGCTCCCAGTCAGGATGCCAGTCCCCATACTGTGCCGGCCTCTGCCACTGCCAGAGCCCCAGACTCCCCCTCCCTCCTCTGGCTTCTGCTGCTTGAAGTAGACGGGGGCCCCTGCCGATGGAGTAGTATGGCTGAGGGAGCCTGCAGCTGGGCAGCTCAGGGGAACCCCACATGTTGCAGTGCAGAAGCAGCAGCATGGTACAGCAGGGGGTACACATCATGTGGTGTGGTATAGGGGGTCACATGGCATGGAGGGTGCTGATGTGGTCCAGCAAGGGAGTGCCTACTGTGCAGCAGATGAGTGATGCAGCACCCACCTGCAACCTCCAGTCACCAATGCTAAGCAGGCTGCAGGGTGGGCACTTGCCACTGCCAAGCTGAGGCCATGGGCAGGGGAGCCATCGCACAGGCAGTGAGAGGGCTGGTGGCAAGCAAAGGCTGGGACTGAGCAGCCAAAGAACATGCTCTATTACAGTCAGCTGCTCCAGCACAGCTACTGGAGCTTGGCAAGGGCAGGGTGGACCTGCACAGACTGTGGCTGGGAGCTCTCCCAGTGGACATGGGCCAAGAACATACACCTGGCCTGGAGCAAGATCCTGCTCTGTGCCATGAGCTGGACCCAGCTGTGCAAGTCCTCCTCACGAGGACAGCTAGAGAAAGCTCCAGGCAGCATCCAGGTCACTGGAACACTTCACTGGGACCAAGGGACACAGTGTGGATGGCAGGGAGCCAGAACCCAGGCCTCCTACTCTCTAGAGAAGTGTCCTCACCACTGGGGCAGGCCCTCTTCCCTGGTCCACAAGCCCCCCACAGCTGGGGTTCTGCTGCACTAACAGTTTGGGGGTGGATATGGTGCAATGTGAATGGGCAGGCAAAACTCTTCCCCCGGCACCCCACAGCCACTGTGCAGCCTCAGAGGAAATCGCAGGGCAAGGCCAGCTGCATGAGACCCCAGCTGCGTTATGCAGTTGCAAGCCCTGCAGCCATGGCAGGGCCACTTGGGAGGGTGAAGGCAAAGGAGGGTTCACCCCTTCATGACCCACTGCTGAGTGAGGAAACCCAGGCATCCTAGTGCTCAGGGATTCCCTCTGTACCCTCCACTCTCAGGACCTGACAGCACCTGGCAGAAACCTCTCCACTAGTCTACAACAAATAGGCAACTCTGTGCTGTATCTGATTGTCTGAAACTACCAAAGGTGCAGCAGCTTCAGCCCATATCCTGGGGAAACCTTCTCACACATAGGGGGTGTAGAACAGGGGCCCTTACCTCCATAACATGGAAAGGAGTTATGTACCATTAAGGCTGTAGGCAGTGTGGGACCCATGCCTCTTTCTGGGTGTATATTTGAGTCTCTTTATTCTTTCAAATGCCTCCTCCTGGGTTTTTGCCCAGCCCCATGCCGCCTTCTTTTGTGTTTGCTATCTCAAAGGTTTGCAAACCTCTGAGAGGTATGCACAGAATGTGGGAAAGGAGCTTGCCATGCCTACAAACTGCATTTCCTCAAAGGCTCTCAAATTCCTAGGGTCGGCCCAGAGTCCTGCCAAGGTCAGAAGGTGTCCAGTGTAGGGGACCTCACTTCTCCTGAGCTTCATCTTGTTTGAGTTCAATTTAATATTCTGCTCCCTGAACCTGTTTAGGAGCTGCTGCAGCTTAGCATCATGATCCTGGATAGCTTCTTCCTTGCTATCACCATCCCCCACCATCCAGATATCATCTGCTACAATCCTGATGCCTGAAAGTCCATCTAGTATCTTATTCTGTTTGTGCTGGCACCCCTCTGGGGCAGGACTGATGCTTGTGAGCATATGTACCCAGCAGTATCTGCCAAAGGGCACTGCAAAGGCTGTCAGATGGCCTGAGGGCTCATCTAGCTCAAAGTGCCAGAATCTATTTTGTACATCACAGACCACAGACATTTTTGCCCTTAATAGTTTGGGCACTATGTCCTCAAGAGCAGGCAATGGATAATGGCTTTTTTTTCAAGCTCTGCTTAGAGGTTTTGGATCTGTACAGATCCTCAGTTTGCCAGATGGTTTGCATACCACTACCAGGCAACTGATCCAGTCAGTGCTAATTTCCACTGGTTTAATAAAGCCCCTTCTTGTTAGGTGTGTTAGTTCTGCTTTGAGTAGCTCTACCAGGGCTAGTGGTACTCTGCACTTTAGTAGTCATACAGGCTGCACATATGGGTCTAATGTGAGCTTTCTCTCTAAGTGCCTATCTCCCTGAAATATGTCTCTGTACTGTAAATCATCAGATAAGGACCATGCTGTGCTTCCTCCTTTCTTTCTCATGTGGAGGATATACTGGTGTTCACTGAGATCAGGTCCATGGCTTGCATTGCTTGGCTGCCTAACAGCAGACGGCACTCTTCAGTGTCAACCACGAAGAGTTCCAGACAGTACTGTTTTCTGTCCTGTAGATTTGTAACTGATGGTCCTCACCTCCCACTGGTTGTGAAGTTTTTTTATTGCAACTCATCAGTCTCTCCTCCCATTCCTCCAATCTTGTATCATGGCTGAGCAGTTTTCTGGAATTACACTGCAGCTGGCTCCACGATCAAGCTGAAATGTGACTGCTTGCTGTTTGAGGAACATTAGTTGCAAATATGGCAGCTGTCTGTGTAGAAGTTTTCTTCTGCCATGCAGGTATGCTCAGCATCTTTGAACCTGCTAAATCCACCTAGACCTCATTTGCCTTATTACAAATGGCAGCCTTCTCCCCTCCTGC